ATTTAGCTATTTCACTTGTTCAGACAAATTAAATAATGTTTTAGATTTCACACCATCAGCTAAAGAAAATAAATGCCTTTTAGTAGTTTTTCTTTAAGTGACATAAAGATTTTAAAAAATCAGTAACACATTTGTTCCACTTGTTCTCTCATATGACTCAAATTGTAAGTCTTTAAAAAAAATCTGCAAAGTATTTTCTAGGGGCGGCTGTGGCTGAGTGGTTAGAGCAGTCGTCCTCCAATGCGAGAGTTGGGGGTTCGAATCCACCAGCAGTCACATGTCGAAGTGTCCCTGGGCAAGACACTGAACCCCTCACAGCCTCTGATGTGTGTCCCATCAGTGTATGAATGTGATAAAACTCTGATTAGTCTCATTAGAATGATTTGTTCAATTAGCTTTGTAGAGATCTAGTAGAGTGCTGTATGAATGGGTAAATGAGGACACAGATTGTAGTGTAAAGCACTTTGAGTATCTTGAAATAAGATAGAAAGGCACTATATAAGTACAGTCCATTTACCATTTAAATTACTGAAATAGTTTGTTTAAATAAAAAAAATAATAGATTATGTTCAGCAGCAGGAGTGTGTGTTGAACTAAACTCCAGTTTCTAATGTATGTTAATCATCTAATTTAACCTCATGCTGCAGGATTGTAGTGATATTTATTTTTTTATCTTCATAGTGTTAGCTCCCTGAAACATGTCAAGCATGCATGTATTAATTGTTATCTTTACACTTTTTTTCTGTCTGTAAAACAAGAAAAATCACCAAAAGTTTTTTTCAAGTGCATATAATGTGTAGTGTATTGTGTCATTCTTATCTTTTAGTTCAGAATTTTACAACACTTCAAGTGAAAATGTTATTTAAAGATAAAATAAATCATATTTTTATCAGTTTATTTGCATTTTTCTTTCTTTATTTGATCATTCTGTTCTGCATTGGCAGATTAGAGTTCATATCTTGTAAATCAGCTTTTAGATGATGATAAAGTGCAGGAAATGGGACAACACTGATGTAATTTATTATAATCTTTTTTTTTTTTAATTATTATAATCTGACGTGACTCAATCTGTGTTGCAGAGATGTCAGATTACATGGACAAAGTGGATCGCCTGAAGTGTCTGGTCCTCAACATGCCTCCTCCGAACCACGACACGCTGAAGTTCATGTGCCGGCATCTAAGACGGTGAGAGGCCGGTTCGGTTCACGCTCCAGATTTCATAGGTTTTGTGTGATGTGACCACGAGAGGGGGCCGTTCCCTCGTGGGTGCCGGTTCCTCTCTGTCAGCGGTTCTTTTGACCGCAGCGCTACGTGTGCCAAGATCACTGTTGTTAAGTTTGGGTTGCTGTGAAGATGAAAAGGCTGGCGGAAGATGAATGGTGTACGACGTTCTGCGAGCCAGTTCCTTTTACAGTACATAAAATGTGTGTTTTTTACCGCCTATGGTTTTTCCTTCCACTCCAGGGGTGAGCGTTCGTGTTCTGAGGCCGGTGTCGGTGCCAGGGTGTGGTGGACCCCGTGAATTTGTCAGCTCTCTGTCTTTCTCTCATTCTCCCTCGCGTGTCATTCCGCTCCGCTCATTCTGGTTCTCATTTATCATCACTCTGCTCGATCCTCTCTCTCACTCTTCTCCCTGTCTCCTTTTCCTCGCTTCCTTTCTGTCCTCTTTTTCACTCTCCCCCCTTCCTTCAGCTCATCCTTTTCTTTCCTTCCTCCTGTTTTCCTCTCTTTGCCTCGAAGGTCCCATGGGAGCCTTGTGGTTCGTCTGCTGGAAGGCATACCGACACCACCGCCGCCACCGCTGGAACCTCTCTCTTTTCCTCTTTTCCTCGCTCACGTCTTTTTTTTGCTCTCGCTCTTCCCTCTCCTCTTTCCCTTTTTTTTCCCTCCTCTCTTTTTTAATGTGGAAGTTTTGAGCAATTGCTGGCTTCTTCTGTGGCTTGGTGGGAACGGCATTTTTAGAAGAATGCCTCATGCTGTGGCTTTAACCCATTCCTGAGTCGTCGCTCGTAACACACACACTCAAAGACACCAACACAGGAGGATTCAGGAGGCAGATTTAGAACATTTTGGAGCACACATCTGCCATGCAAAACCATCAGTCATCCATTGTATATGCCTGCAATCCCCGGAGCCATGTCGGCTTGCAAACATGAGCTAAGTAGCACTAAACACAAAGCACTTCTGCAGCTGGGGCTTTATTTGTGCTGCAGGTTTTTGGTCTAAACCATTAGAACAGGTTTGATTTGATGATGATGAGGATGCGCTCTTCGTCAGCTCATCCTGAACATATTTGTGTGCTGCAGATTTTTTTTTGGCACTTTGCTCTAGCGCAGTTAAGACGTTTCACTCAAAGCCACAAATGTCAGCTTCATGGTGGCCTGCGAAGAAATGTCAAAGATCAGCAAAACAAGCAAAGTCTACCCAATAGTTGGTGAAATATAGTTGCGAGTCTAATTCTGTCAACTTCGAAGAATGATCTGGGTTTTTACGCCATCGCTCAGAAAATGTGGTCTAGGTCAGAATTATAGACAAACAAAATCTGACTGAAACAAGAATTTACAGACGTAATGTACTTTTCTTTATTCTTTTTTTTTTTTAAGGGTAAAGATTTGCCTTTTTTCATTTAAAGTGGCCAATATGGAATAATTAATCGGTCTGTCTTTTGTCTGAACCAAGAAGGTGAACCAGTGTAGGCTGCCCATTCGCAGGATGGAGCAATAATTTATACTGTTTAAAGTAGGGATGCACGATATCGGATTTTTGACAGATATCTGATATGACAATACGTTAAAACTTATTCGGCTGATAACCGATACCAATACAAAAAAATTTTCCTAGGCCTACTTACCATGACTACCGTATTTTTTGGCCTATAAATTGCAGTTTTTTTGCATAATTTACATACCCTGCGACTTATATGCCGAAGCAATTTATATATGGATTTTTTTCCCCATATTTATAAACCAATTTTTGGCTGAGATATGACCGTTTTCATTCATTCTGAGTGAACATTTTGAACACTACGATTTTCAGCCACTAGATGGCACTCAATTTATGGCATGCCGTTGTGTCATGTAATAGGTAAGAGTGGCTATTACTGCAAATGATGGATCGTTAGCACGGCTGACGGTCCTCCTTGACCATGTGAGCAGCTGGTTTTGGCTGTCAGCAGCAAACTGGTTGATCCACTATGAGAAGGTGCTATTTATAAGACTGAGCAGAACACAGCTCCTCAGACTGAAAGTCTTTCAGATGTAAGACGAAACGTTTCTAGTTTTTTTCTATTTTTTTGGAACCCATCCAGAGGACCCAACTTTTTAAAAAACATTATTTTTTTAACTTTTTCAAATCAATATATCATTCAGAAATTGCTAGGTCTAGATCGTCTACGTGATTTTATATAAACCATACTTTTTTCCAGCGTAAAGTAAACTGGGCCTTTTCGTCGTTTACTTCTGCAGTTAATCTCTCCATCCTGTATACGTTCGTTGTGATTTTCATCCATATGTTCAATGTTGGGCTCTCTAGTGAAAGCCAGATTTTCGTGAGGGCTGTTGCACGCCGCTAATACAATATTAAATAAATATTTGTCTATCTTTGACCATCCTTCAGGCATGAGTCCAAAAAAAACAACTTTATTTTCTAAAGGCATTGGGATGGAGCAATCTCAACTTTTTCAGACCAATTCATAGTGTTTAAAGTAGGGATGCACAATATTGGATTTTTGACCGATATCCGATATGCTAATATGTTAAAACATATTTGGCTGAAAACCGATACCAATACCGATTTATTATTTTTTTTTTTCTTCCTACACCTACTTGCAAAGACTACATAGCTTTCTGTGCTGTGGAATTAAAATACTACAGTATTCTGCATGGTCTTAGTCAGTTTGGCCTGCTACCAAATGCAGATGCCAAAAATGGGGCTGAAAATGATGTAACACTTCAACTTGGATTATGTTTCATCTCAAATTTATTTATGACATTTACTCTCTCTAACACAATGACAACACTTGAACAGTGCAAACTTGTAAATTTTCACAAATCTAAACTCGGACCTGTTCACAAGCGACAAGTGCATTAATAGATATACTTGATTGTTTCTTAAATTAAAAATTAATCTAAAACAGAAGTCTTTTAAATTGGTGAGTTATTTTGATGGAATGGCCGATATCCGATATTTAACTTTATTGCTAATATCTGCAGATTCCGATGCCGATACCATGTCAATAATATCGTGCATCCCTAGTTTAAAGTTTTATTTTTTTATATTTAAGGTGTCAATAACCATTAATATTCTGCTTTTCCTGCCCTTTGTAGAGTGTTAGAACGTTCAGACACCAACAGAATGACCACCCAGAACATCGGCATCGTGTTCGGGCCTACGCTGATGCGCCCAGAGCGGGATAATGGCAACATGGCAGTGAACATGATTTACCAGAACCAGGCGGTGGAGCTCATCCTCAGCGAGTCTGACCACATCTTCAGAACGAGAGGCCTCTCTTGATCTTTTCAGACCATGGAAGTCGGCAGCGGGCGGCTCAGTCTGCGCCTCCAAATCGGACTGCAGCACAAAGCAACGCAACGAGAGCTTGTAGGCTCATATGGTGTAAAATGGATTTCACATCAAAAGATAATTACGGGGGCAAAAAAGAACCAGGAAAAGAAAGCTGCTAATCATGACATCTGGCCTCCATAAAAAGCCATGTTAAAACAATAATAGTAAAACAAGCCAATTTTAGCTGCAGTGCTCGAGCCTTTGAGCGCAGATGTGGAGCTCAGCCCCAGCGAGGCTCGCTGCTGGAACAGACGCCTCCTTGTCACTTCCCCTTGATGTTTCAGACTTGATCAGGGCAAAAAGAAAAGCTGTAAAAGAGATAAATTTCTTTCAGCCTGTCTAATGTATTCTTCAGTGATTCACCAAGCAAAAGGAGGAGGGATGAGTGAGTGAATGATTTTTTGTATCTGTCTGTGTCCCTGTGATGGACTTGGACCGGTCCAGGGTGTCCCGCTGCTCCTCGCACAGTGACTGCTGGATATGGGCACCAGTGATTCCCCGCAACCCAGAAAGGAAGAAGTGGGTAAAGACAATGGATGGATGGTTGTGTTTTAATGTAGCACTGAAACAAAACTCAGAACCACCTCACTGTGAAAACTCAATATCAAGAAGAACGGACTGAGTGGAAACACGCAGGAAGACAAATAATCCGGTTCTGCAAGGCTTGCGGCACTTCTACTGACGTGATACAGCTTTTGGAGGGATTATTTGAGAGTATTCTCCAAGAATAAAAATGTGCTTTTGCTGACTACACAATGTGCCAGCATGGAAGCAAACGTATCTAGTGACCTGCTTTCTAAAAGTAAGAAAGTACATTTTCCAAACTATTTTATTAGTGAAAACTCCTTGTAATAGTTTCAAATGACGACGTTGTATATATGTGAAATGCTGTCTTTGTCAGTTAGAATCACTTTATGAACAATGTGCAACCAAAATATTCTGTATATTTGCCAAATCCCAACCCCAACATTTGCTTTGAGGTGAACAGGATGTTACTGTGATTTTCCTCCAATAAAAGAAGCATGTGAGCACTGACGCGGTGTGTTTTGTCACTCAGGATGTCAGGTTGTTTGTTGCGAGCGGCGGGTTGCGTGACATTTAGTGGAGGCGTGTGGAGGTATGTGGGCCTCGGAGACTTGGCAGGCGGAGTCGTCACCCGTGATTGGTGCGATTGCTGCTTTTAATAACAGAACAAAAGGGGAACTGGAAATGCATATGCTTTAAAATGTGGATCCCCCCCCTTGAAACCCTCTCACTCTGTGGCCTGGGTAATTTTATATTGACTGTGGGTTTGGCAAAAGACAAAAAGGAGCAGAAAGGATCGAGGCACTGCTGGAGGGGGGGAGGTGTTCAATATTCTCCTTCACTTTTTGCGTTTGTTACATTTAAAGGCGTTCAATCTGATTGAAAGCTGTTTGCAGCTGACTGATGAGGAGTCCGCTCCCAAAGGTGTCCTTATATTTGAACTACCCAGATATTTTCAGCTTGAACACACAAACCGCACGTATTTTATTTAATCCAAATGCATGTTTGTATCAAAGTTCAGCAGATCTAGTTGTTTTGGTTTTGTTCGTCATGGACCTCTTTACATCATTTTTGTCTGCGTTCAGCCATAAAGCACCAATGCATCGAATATTTCCTGAACATTTTGTGCTGTATGTTTTGTTCATGCTGCAAATGGTGACGCTAGGGGGGATTTTTGTGTCAATAAAACCCACGGTGGTATTAAACTTCAGCAAAATGAGCTGTTTTATTCCATTTTGGTGTGGCAGCAATAATCATGCACTACAATTTGAATCGGACACAATCAAACGTTCCTTCCTATTTAGTACTTTGTGGGTCAAATTATCTTACATCATTCTTTGTATTCTGTTTCTTTTTTCTTTCTGGTGGCACCACTAAATTTAGATAATTAAAACCTCATGCAAACATTGTGTTTCTTCATCAATAAATGTGAACCAAACAAAAGCAGCGCTGCTAACTTTGGGGGGAAAATTCTGTTCAAAACACATTTTCTGACACTTGGACTAATGTCTCAAACCGTTTTGCATCTGCACGTGGTTATTTTGTTAGTTGCATCACTGAAGCAAAATGGTTTTTGGTCTGTGTCATGTTTACAAAAGTTGTGGAAAGGAGTAAATCAGAAGGCTGTGAAAGGTTTACATCTGTTGTGTGTTTCTTTCAGCCAAAACAACTCTCAAAGTTAATTTAATTTGCACTTCATTAAAATCAAACCTCTGAGAAAGACAGCTTAGAGACGTATAGACTTGAATAAGTACATACCTGAACGGTACCTAACATACCTAGTATTTGTAAAAGGCCAGAGTAAAGTGTGGAGATAAAATTTATGAATGCTGTACTCCTGTTTTATTTGTTATTTATTTTTTTTGCATGTTTATTTGCACTCTGCATACTTAAAAAAAAAAAAAACATTTATCCTTTTGAAAATATTTAACTTTATTTACATCAAATGTTCCCATAGAACACGTTAGGAGCTTTAATTTCTTTAAAACTTTGTTCACTATGAGTATTGCTGGCTTTTATTTTGTCCTCGTCGAATGGTAGCTACAAGTTAAAAGTAGCAACACTTTAGCTACCATTCTGCTTTTAGCTAGTGTTCTGCTACTTTTAGTTAGTGTTTTGCTACATTTAGCTTTTAATTAGCCTTTGGCACCTTTTGGTATGGAATTTACCTTTTTATCCTGTCCTTTGATCATTTTAGCTTCTAGCTAGCCTTTTTGCAATATTTAGTTAGCATTAAGGTATTTTTTTTTTAGCTAATTTTAGCTTTTATCTCAATGTAGCTTTTTTTTAGCTATTAGTTTGTTTTCCTATTTTGTATTTTAGCTAGCAATGTGGTTTTCTTAATTTGTAGCTAGTGCTTAGCTTGTTCTTTTTAGCTTGTGGCCTGTGTTGTGCTATATTTATTTATTTATTTATTTATTTATTTATTTATTTATTTATTTATTGTTAGGCTGCCTTTAGGCCCAGGCCTCTCTTGCAAAAGAGATCTGTGATCTCAGTGGAATTTGCCTGGTTATATAAAGGTTAATAAATAAATATATTTGCCTTTTAGCTAACATTTGACTTTTTTAGCATTTACCTAGTGTTCTGCTGTTAATTTAGTTTAAACAACTCAGTTTCAGCTTCTTTAACCAGTTGCATCAATCATTCTCGGCGTGCACGCTGTACTTTCACAGAAAATGTAATTTTCATTTCATTTTGTCATGTTTAAATTCTGATTTCTGTTACTTACCTTAATATGATTTAATAAACTTTATGTTTATTATTTGCGTTGTAAAAACCAGGTCAGGACACTCTTCTCTAACTCTAACTCGATCTACACCTGTAGCTTCTGTCTTTTACTGGGACTTGAAACTTAAAGGGGCACAACACCCATTGAGACGTGTTGCTCATGTATAAAAGCTGTTTCAAGTTCACTGATGTTTCCACCTGAACGAAGAATGCTGCACATAGTCTGGTAAATGACACGTTACAGAAAACTAGGGCAAAACCAAGCACGAACTGTTAACGCTGGTGAAGCACTGCACCCAAACCCTTTCTGACCCTACGTCACCTTTCATGATATGGTTCAAAGCTTATTTATTCAACCCACTGTTAACCTAAAGCTTAGAGTCTCGAATATCAGAGATGTTGCCCCCCACACAGGTTCACAAGAGCGAAGCAAGCACCTCCAATGAATCATCATGCAAATACAGCGAGCCACAGAGAACACACGGCGTGTAACAGAGCAGACTGGAGATCTCGACTGTTGGTGGAAACCGTTTACTGTGATGGGAAACTTGAGTGGCTCAAGCAGACCGCAGCGCTCATGTTGAACATTCAAAACATACAGCTCTGTGACCATGTTTCACAACCGTAAACTAACATTTAACATCTAATAAAGGACTTTTTTCATAAAAACTGGAAAAAGGTGCAAAAAAAACAAACATTTTTTACTTAGAAAAATAAATGAAAAGCAAGATTCTGGTAGCAAATTATGTACAGTTTTATTACAAACATAAGGAAATTTGTATAAAATATATAAAAAGTTCCTAAATTGTCTTGGCACATAAAGAAAGGAGAAAATGACAATCGGAACAGGAAGAAAAGTGTCTGGAAACTGAGTCAAAGTAGAACTTATTCTGCCTGAATAGAACAGGTGAGGAACTAGAGAGACTGGCGTGTCACATCTGTATATCTTTGGTGATAAACGCACACGCACATACGCATGACCAAGAAGCATCTCAGCCACCCAGCAGGCATGAATGCTGCAAGCTTAGTCACACCTCATGCACCGCCATCTTACAGTGTCTCGTCATACCGAGGCCTTTTCAGATTTCTCACAGCGTCTGAGCACATCTGAGGCACTTATCACTCCACCGCAGCCAGAAAGAGGAAGTTTCAAACTGAAGCGTGTGTCCTGAGTCTTGACCTTCTTGCCACACCTCAGCAGGCAATGTGACACATTATAAATATTGTTTTTCCGGGGGTGTAAAATAAGGACGCCGCACATGTAAATTATTACAAGAAATGGCAAAACGTTTTAGCACTTGGTGAAATCAAGCAGTTCCATATGCAGATCTGAACAGTAAGATGGTACAAATTGGTGCTGGGTGAGACCCGGACGCCATCTTTATCTTTTGCTAACGTCGCATGCAGAGATGCAGAAATGAATGTCCTCCACTTTAAAAAGTGCAGGTTGCTGTTTTTTTTTGTATTTTGTTTTGTACGAAGCTTAAATAAACAGCTGTTTTCCTGTTGTTCATCCGCTAACATTAAACAGATGACTGGCCGATTAAAGCCACAGAGCACCGTGCTTCATCTGAAACGGAGAGTTGCATCTACTTTGTGATTTCACAGCATGGATGACAGAAGAAGGATCACTTCTGTCACATTTATTCAAACGCTCACAAGCTTTGACAAAACGTAACGGCTGCATGTGCATTTTACCAGAAAACATCTGAGTTTCACTTTGACTTCTTAAATTAGAGGTATCAAAAAATGTCAGACAAAACCCAATACTGAATGTTTTGCTCACTTATTTAAAACGATACATAAAGTAACACCGCATCTGGTAACGTGGCTGTATTTGAAAGGTTTGAAGATCTTAAATAGCATACATCTTCATTTCTGTAAACAATTCCCTCAGGGCTTTTTTTTTGGTTTGTTTTAGCCAAATCATTGAAGGGGGTGTAAATGCTAGCTATCAAATAGTTTTTCACAAAAATACTAAACAAATCTTTGTAATCCTCATCAGTAAAGAAATCAAATTCTTTTAAATAGGCTTTTGTGGAAAAGTTATAAACGATCAACATCTTAACTGTTGCAGATATTGCTTTAAACAGCCACGCCTAAAAACAAATTGAGTTTAGTTTTGACCAGATTGACAAATCATTTAAGTTAGGAGTTGATTTAAGATGGCAGCAATCTACTGTCAATTCGCTCAGGATTAAAGTGAACTGAACATGATTTCTTCAAGCTGAGGTCGTTCAAAAGCTATCTAAAACAGGTAAGATATCAGTTGCTCACAACTCGTTTCAAAAGATCTGAACTGTCACTTTTTAAAATACAATAAAAACGTTTGTTTTGTGCAACAGGAGGCAGCAGCAAGCAGTTCAGGTATATGGTGTGTCACATCAGGACAGACCTCAGATCAGTCAATCCAAAAAATAATTCTTCTTATGGAAAACCACAAACAAACACACACACACACAACTATCACACTTTACATGATAAAATACGGTCATCTGGATGGCTTTGTCCACTTTAAGGCCACAAATGTTTTGGCAGAGTGCATTTCTTTGTTTTATAAAAAGTAAGACACTCAGCTGATTTGTTTAAAATGAAAAATACACGAGCAAAAATCTGCATGGCTTTCTAGAGTCGGCTTAAGTTTTTACTCTCTGTAACCCTGTTATGTCCAGGTTCAGTTCACATTTGTTCAAGTCTTCATTCTGGTCCTCAGCATCTCTGTCCCAGATATGGCTCTCTGTTTTAATATGGCTTCCTGCTTCACAATGGTTTCGCCCATTTTGCTCTTCTCTTGTGGGGGATTCCTGGTTGGAACTACTTCCCAGCTCGTCCGCTGCTTCCAATAAACTCTGGTGTGTTGTTCCAACTCTTTCCTCCTCTTCCTCACATTCTTTGAGAGCATCCAGAGCTCCATCCAGACTGGAGTCGCTGAGGAAGGAGTGGGCAGTCTGTGTGTCATCCATGGACAGAAGTTTGTCTTCGGCGAGGCGGCCCACCAGAGGGGTGAGAGGCATCTCTTCCTGCTCTTGTTCCAGATCCTGGTCTTTGCTGCAGTAAGCGTAGCGGTGGTTCATGTGCTGGGAGTAAGAGCCAGAGTGGGAGAAGCGTTTGCCACACTTGTCACATTGGTAGGGTTTCTCTCCAGAGTGCAGTCGGCTGTGTTCGATCAGATGGTGCTTATGCTTAAAAGCCTTGTTGCAGATCTTGCACTCATGAGGACGCTTGCCTGAAATAACACAGAATAGTTTCTGTTTGATTAAAAACAAAAACAGTATGTATGACGATATTAAAAGAAAAATACTCTTATTTTATATTCTGATGATGAGCAGCGGTTCATGGATAATGATATATTTGTGGCAGCTTCTTTAATTTTGTCAGTTGTTCAACTTAAAGCAAACGCGTAAAGGGATGAAACAATGATTCTGTGTGTGAAGAAGGTTTAAACTAACACCCCCGAAAGAGCACCAATATTTAGGATGTGTTTGACATGTCAAAAACCAAAGTAAAACAGGTCGTGGTGAATGTGTGGGATTTTAACTTGACTGTATACAACACCACATAAAACTAAAAGTAGATGGTTTTCAGGTTTAATTTTTAGACAAAGAAAACAGAACTGTATCATTTTTAGTTTCAGAGGTGAACACAGGTGGATTTAAGTTGAACTAAATTTA